ACAGGCACCTCCTTCATCCAGCATGCCTGCTCCTGGCTTTTCTTTCTGGCTGTCCTGGAGGCTCCCTAGTGACATTGGTTAGAGGACAAGATTTCAAAACCAGGAAAAGGTAAATATTAACACGCTTTGTATTTGTCTTCCATTTATGCTGCACAGATACTCTTGCAAACAAGTGAACTCCTGGGAATGACCACGGCAGACAGTAAATCCACAGAGCATGTTTGCGCAAAGTGGAACTTTGAAGTGAAAAATATGAATCCTGGAACAATTACATTAATGTGTCTGAGGCTGTGCCTGACACACTGAGTCTGCTGCTTAGTTTATGCTGCTTTGGGTATTTAATTCTCCTGGCAGAAATGCTGGAAGAAAACTGGGGGCCAAGGTTATTTGACAGATGGCTTTTGGTAATTAAGACTTATTGATGTTAGGGCACAAAGACAGAGAAAGGCTGAAAGGGAATGCTCCTCTGAGCTCCATTTGTTTTGCTGTTAGACAGGAGTACTCATATCTCATAAGAGGGCAGGAAAGAGGTTCTGTAATGCCTGTCACTGTCTTGTATCTATTCCTTCAGGGTCTCAGCTTCCCACTGTTGTGTTGTCAGTGGGAAGAGCAGCTTAGTTTGGCACTGACAACTATGTGCTTCATTCATTGCTTCAGTTGCTGCAGCCCATCCAACTGCATCCTACTTCACTTAATTGTGGGGTTTATGTAAGATGAAACACCTCTTTCTTGTGCAACAGCAGCAGTTCCATGGCATTTGTAGACGCACCCTGCGCTGAGACCTTCCATTGTAACTAGCAGCCTCCCTGTGTGCTTGCTGGATGCGTTCCCTGCCCATTGGGTTGGCTTGATGCCTTCTCAGGTCCATACCCAAGTGCTGTTGCAATTTGGACTGATAATCCCCAGAGGTCTTGCAAGGAGTGGCTTGTGTGTAGGTGCGGCAGAGGACGTGGCGGAGCCCTGGTGTGATTCGAAGGCTTTGCTTGGTGTGAGGTGGTGGAAAGGAACCCACAGGAAAGCTCTCGAAAAGCTTTGCTTGCAGCAGGAACTCTTTGTTGCAACCTCCTGCATGCCCTTAGATTCACATCCCCACAGTCTTAAGCTGATGTGTAATCTCTGTGGGAAATGCAGACTTAATAAACAGTCCAAGGACTCTTTGCGTCAACAAGAGTCCGGTTTGTTCTCCTTTATGTTTGCAGCCGTGTTGCTCCTGTTCAGCTGTGTGAATTCAGGCCCCGGCTCTTTCTGCCTGTTCCAATCTAGAGTACAGAATCCAGATACACTTGTGTTTATTTCTTTCCTTTTTTCCCCTTCCCCCTATCTCCAGGGTGGTGATAGAAACAAAGTACAAATATTTGTCTTTCTTGGTCTAACACGTTTTTATATAGTGCTGAGAGCCCTCTCTTTATTCAGCTGTCTGACTGCTCTGGCCACCTTGAAATACAGAAAAAAACCTTACTCACCTGAGAAACAAAAATGCCATCAGCTTGGATGTTGAAGAGGGGAGTCGCACATGGCAGAGGCTTGGCAATGGGAAGGAATGTGAGGAGCGGAAGTCTCTGAAGCAGTCCTGCCCCTGCCGTGGTGCAAAAGGATTGTCCTCCAAGACTCATCCTGCACAAGCTTTGGTCATCAGGATCAAATATTAGGCTAGATGGAGGTTTTGTCTTGAGGAGGTCACTTCCACTAATTTTATAACAACCTTGGGATCAGAATTCATGGAATTGCATGAACAAAAGTGCTTGGAGGTCTGTTTGCAAACACTGGAGCTTTGAGGAGCACCAGGGTTCAAAAAACAGGCAAGGGGCTCCAGGTGAGATATCAGCAGAGCATCAAAGAGGAGAGTGGGTTGCTTGAGTGCTGCCCAGAAGAGAAACTACAGATCTGTCATCTGAGGAGCAGAGTATTGCTGGGCAACTGCTGGAAGGAGCCGGAGGGATGTGACTTGGGAGGGAAATATGCACCCCAGGTAGTTGCAAATGTGGTGGCTTCTCGGCCATTCAGTACTGCAGTAGGAAGGGGACAGAGCTGTGAGCTGCAGGCCTTACGACACCGTCCCTCTTAACCTGATGTTTCTGAGGGTCATGCAGTACAATCTATACGAGGAGCAGATCTCAGGCTTTGAATGTCTCAGGCACTGCCACATGTTAATCTCTGAACACGTTGCTTGTGCCCTTCTGCCTCTTCTTGCACACTTGAGTCTCGGCATCTGTAGAATGGAGATGATTATAGCATGTCATTGCAGAATCAAGAGACCTTTCAGTAGTTGCATAGTAACCATATGGGGGAAGCTAAAACTCACTAAAGTCTTTGCTTACCTGAGCAGGCCCTGCAGGCATCTCGTGTGGCAGTTGCCACAACAGCAGGGCTGCATGGAAATAGGTGATCAGCCTTTAACAGCATGGATTAGTCTTGACATTGGTTAGTGAAGTAAATGTCTAATAGGCTTGGATTCATAACCAGGTTTCTCTCTCCCTTCTCTCTCCCCACCCGTCCCTTCCTTGAAAGAAACTTGACTGCTTGGACTATTAAAGCATTTAATGTGGGAGAGATTTAAGATCTCAAAAAAGAAATCCTCAGTGCCTAGAAAGGTTGGCCCAGATGATGCTGGAGGACCCTTCCAACCTGGTATTCTATAATTCAGTGTATTACCTATAGGTTAAGGAGAGAGAAGCAGTTATTGGAGTTCACAGCAGTTTGTGACTCTGTGCACATAAGGGCAGTCAGTAGCTCTTGCTCAGGGACATTCCAGCTATCCCGGGTGAGGAACAGCAGCAGGAGGAGGCCTGAGCAGAGTAGGGCCTTGACTGGGTTCACCTTGCAGAGGTTTTCAGCTGTGTTACTGCATCCACAGCCATGGTTTTCATCATCTTTCCTTTCAGAGGAAACAAAAGTGCTAAATCTTTTGGCTAGATTCAACAGTGGACAGTAAGACAAGCAGGAGGGTGTCTGGGTAAAAGTGTGTGTGAATGGAGCACTAATGAGTCCCTGTATGAGCAGCTGAACTGTTGGGCTTGTCTAGGAAGTTTTTACGGAGGTGGCCTTGTGTTGTAAAAGATGGGGGCTCACATGCTCCCCAGGTTTGCCTTGGGCAGTTACAGAGCTTTCACACCTGAAATACTGTGTCCAGTTCTCTTCAATTGTATGGACTTACTGGAATGAGTCCCATGCAGAGCCACAGAGATGATTAAGGGAATGGAGCATCTCTCCTATGAGGAGAGGTTGCAAGAGTTGGCACTGTTCAGCCCATCAAAGAGGGGATCTCATTAATGTGTATAAATACCTGATGGAAGAAGGGGGAGCTGGCCATGGGTAAGAGTGACAGGACAAGGGGCAATAAGCTGAAACACTGGAAATTCCATATGAACTTTTTTTGTTCTTTCTTTTTTCCTAACTGTGAGGGCAGTCAAAACCTGGAACAGGTTGCTTGAGAGGTTGTGGAGTCTCCATCTGTGGAGATATCCAGAACCTGACTGAGTCCTGAGCAACTTTGCCTTGAGCAGGATACAGTAAATTTACAAAAGGTGAGGATGGGATGCTTGTGTCATGTTAAGTGCTGTGAGTGACTGTCTTCCGCTGTTTCAAACTGGGTTCTTAGTAGAGGCTCCAAAGGAAATTAGGCTGCAAGGCTTGCCTGTTCCCTTTGGTATAAGGGCTTGTCTCATCCAGTGGTGAGCTACCTGTGAAGGTACTTGCTCAGTGTATGCTTAAGCTGCCATCCAGAGTAGCTGTTCTTCTGCTACCTTGCTACCTCTGGATGGTTTTTCTACTTTTGCTGTTCTTGGAGGACATACAGTTAAGATATCTGTGTTTCACTGATCAAGTGAGAGGCTATTCTCATTTTTCAAGATGTGGTGGGCTTAAAATGTGTGTCTCTTATCTACTTCATATGCTCTCATATCACATCATATCATCCATATATCGTCAGTCATCAATGTCATCAACAGAGATGTGCTGTCTCTTCTGATAAGTTATGCATTCTCATACCCTGTTTTCTTTAGCAACGTGTGCAGCTCTGGAGAGAGAGCTGAAGGGATGTTCTCTTCATAGAATAGAATCATAGAATCATAGAATAGTTAGGGTTGGAAAGGACCTTAAGATCATCAAGTTCCAACCCCCCTGCCAATGGGCAGGGACACCTTACACTAAATGGTATCACCCAAGGCCTCGTCCAACCTGGCCTTGAACACTGCCAGGGATGGAGCATTCACATGGAAACGGTGGCATTGCCATTTGGTGCATACAGACTGCTTGCTTGCTTCTCAAAGCAAATAAAAAACTGAGGGCATTCTACTCCACAGCCATGCTACCTCTGCAACCGTGTGGCGGCCAGATAATGTAAAGAGAAATTCCAGTTGCTGGTGCAGTGGGTTCCATTAAAACCCTTACTCACAACCCAAAGCAGCCTCCCTTGTGTAGCTGAGGGCAGTCAGCAGTGTATTCTTGTTTTGTTAGGTGGTGTATGTATGGGTTATGGTCATCTTGCTATCATTTACAGCAGAGCCAGGTGTTAGCTGTTAACTTGCTTTTTCATTCCTTAGCTATTAATGTTGGCTTCAATCATTTTTGACTCCATGATGTTGTTTGAGTTGGGTACATGAGAGTCCAAGCAAGAAAATTCTCCGTTGTAGCCTTGGGTCTGCGTTTTGTGTGTATGTTTGCTTGCTTTTATAACACAAGTTATTCAGGTTGCTCCCATTTGGGTGAGTGAATGTCTTATTACATCTGCTGCATCTGTCCATTGTGTCTTATCTGACAGTCCTCCCTGACCTGGGGACAGGGCTGTGATGCTGGATTAGAGCAGCAGCAAACAGGCATTTCTATAAAGGACCACTGGGTCTGAATAACCAGTGCAGTGACAGTGTTGATCTCCCTGTGGATATTGCCAGCATCTAGGTCAGACTGAGGAAGGGGGGCAGGCTTCTTCCACCCGGATTTGAAGCTGTCTTGTTTTTCCCCTTTGGCTAACACCCATCTGACTTTTCTTTCTCTTCCCACAGGTTGATGCAGTGCGGGTGTATGTGAACAGCAGCTCCGAGAACCTCCAATATCCTGTCCTGTTTGTAGTTCGCCAACAGAAAGGAGTGCTGTCATGGCAGGTCCCACTAATTTTTCGAGGCCTGTAAGTACTGGAGTATCTTCCTTGTAACACACTTGTCTGCCAGCTGTATCCCTCATCAGCCTTCCTCAAGTGCTCCATCTTGCTGCTTGTGTAGACCACAGGGCTTGGTTGCAAAGCGTGATTGCTAACTGTCACCTGAACACAGGAAGACCAGGATTTGGTAGGTAACCTCTTAGTTGGCAACCTGCTTGGTTTCTCATATATGTCTGCTGGGGATCTGCCTGTATTGCTAGTCAGTGAATCTACCACAGTCACAGTCACTTATGGTATGTGCAAGCAGTTCATGTGCCCTAGTTTGGAGCAGGGTTTGAACAAGAGCACCCTAACTGCTGTGTTACAGTGTGTTTGGGCAATAAGGGCTCTCCTCTGTTTCTCACCCCAGGTACATCTAAGCTGAGTCTATTATGGCTGGTGGTAGTTGTTTTGGGAATGTTTTCTTTGTGAAAGTGATGCTGCTGTGTATCTTCAGCAATCTCAAAGCTCATCAAGCTGCAAGTACTGAGACTTTGCAAGCACCTTAGACCACCTGAGATGGGAAGTTTCATCCTGCCACTGAAATGCTGGTGCCTGGCAGCAGATACCCTGCAGTCTTTTGCCTGATGCAGGGGGTGGTTACAGCAGTGCCTGTCCTGGGCTGCCGTTGCTCTCTCTACCTCCAGCAAATGGCAGATGTGCTAGATCTGCAGATGGAGCAGGGAGCCTTGAGGGAAGTGAAATGTTGGGGATGGCTACTCCCTTATGCAAACCACAAGATGCAATAGAGGTGGAGTTTGAGTTCTGAATAAAAGGCTTGATGATCTTGGCGTTTCAGATTAGTATTTCAGTTATGCAAGCAGGGATTATGTCATTCTTGGAACTGCCAAGCAACTTTTTAACTGCTTTCTCTCTCTTTTTCCATCCAACTTCCCCTTCCCTCCTTCCTCTGGCTGTTGTAGCTATCAGAAGACCTACAATTACCAAGAAGTGAGTCGTACCCTCTGTCCTTCTGAGCCAACACCTGAGACACGATCCTCTGACCAGATCATATTTGTGGACGTCGCTTCCATGGCACCGTTTAATATTGCGTATGAGCTACTAGTCACCAGGCTTGAGAACTTCCAACTTGAGTAAGCTGGGATGCGAGAACACAAATGTAATTTCTTCATGTATCTGTTCCACAGGGATTTGGTTAATCTGCTGTGACTCTTCCCTTTTTCCTTCCCAGAACAACAAAAGGAGATTATGTTTTATTTTGCTTAATCTAAAGGTATTTTTGTGTGTTCCAGCCCTGAAAGTTTTAGACTTCAACATGCTGGCATTTCTTTTGTAGGACCAACAAAGCCTTTAACTTCACTGCCAGCCCTTCCCAACCCCAGGTAAGGAGGTGTACTGTGTGTCTTACCACATCCAAATGGTTGATGCAGTCCTTTGTTAGAGATAGCAAAAGCCTTACATGACTAGGTCATTTCTCTTAGGATGCAGGGAAACTTACTTCCTCTTGAATTTTCTGTGGATATAGTGAAGAGGTAACAGTGCTTTAACCCCTCTAGGGGCATGTTTGGGTCCTCTTGCAAAGCAATTAAGTAAACCAAAAAACCATGACCAGAGCAAATGAGTAGTGTCTGTAGTTCAGGAAATTCCAGAAATGTACAGAAGGCCAGAGGCCATTTGACTGCTACACTTAATGGGAAAGGAGATGGTGTGCACCAGTATCTTGTTCCAGCCGTTGCTAGTTCAGTTGCCTGAGTGTGACTTGCCAAGATGCAGTCTTTACTGGAGAAAAATAACTACCTAAATAAATAAGCTAATGATACAGCAGAACTCAGACTGCTGTTCCTTGCTCATGGCAGCAAGGTGACTTGGGAGGTGCTAAATTAAATGCCTCATTATTAGTTCAGAAGACTGCACACATGTTCAGCACATCCAGCTGAGCAGCTCTGTTTAGAGCCCTGCAGATACTACAAGTCCTCTCTTGAATGAAAATGCTGTTGGCAGTAACTATAGTGATACAGGAGCTCTTAGAACTGGGGAAGTATGTAATTTACCCAGGCTGTCTGGTACTCCAGTTCTGTTTGTGCTATCACTGTTAGTAACACCACTTAATTTTAGGTTTCCTATTACCAGGCATTCCAGCTAATCTTTTTTGCTGTCAAATGTCTTAAGCTGGTTTGCAGTTACATGCAGTATTTTTATATTATAGAAGCAATAGGGAATGGTGGTGACTCTTTATAAACCCTTGTTACTTAGGATCTTGTCATTTGAATGTTGAATCTTTAGGATCTGGCCTGGAATTAACTTTTTGAGTTTGGTCTGTTATTTATCACAATTAATAATATGAGATCGATGACTTTAATTACAGACCAGATGTTAGAGAGCAGAAGGTGAGTGTTTCTTCATTCCTATAGTCCCGAGGCTTTTGTATATCAAAGTATTAAGTAGTTTTCAGGGGGAAAGAAAAGAAGGCAATTCAAAATCTATATGCATGTTGGAATATCCCTAAGACTGGAAAAAGACTGAAGGACAACTGAAGGAGTTGTTGTCTGGAACCCAGCTCATGCCTTAGGGCAGGAGAAATTAGAAGGGATTGTATAGGTCAGGAGTATTGCCTGAATGTGCTTATACCACTCACAGCCTATGCAGCAGAAAACTGTAGGTGTCAGTGCCCCTTATGTTAATTCTGTACTCTGGTATAAGTGTGGCTTAAAAAGATGATGACAGGGAAGTCCTCATGGGTGACTTCCTCAAGGACCTAAAACTTCCTAAGGGTAAACTCACCTCTGTGGTGGGGTAAGGTGCCCATCAGCCCCTTGTGGAAACTGTGGTTGTGAGCCTGTGCTGCCGTATCTGGGCTTCAGGTAGGATGATGTGAGCCCTTGTGACAAGCCTGCTTGCTGGCATAAAACACCCTCCTCCTTCAGCAGCCAGTTGGTGTAGGACATCAAACCTTTAATGGAAGAAGGTGCAAATAATGCTGTTTCCTGGGGCATCTTTTGCCCAAATCTGGAAAGACCAGTGCTAGGACAGGGAAGGGTATTTCCTGACCCCACAGACTGTCCTGTGGGCCTGCTCAAAGTATGGGAGCAGAAACCTCACCATTCCTTGCCCCGGAGGAAAAGTAGGAATATTGGCAGGTGTTAGTGTCTCCCAGTTTTTTTCAGAGCTATAGCTGCATTATTTTTAAAGCTGATAAGAGAAAAACCCCTTTACCCTTTGCCCTCAAACCCCAAAATCCTAAATCCTACAACTAATATCAGGCATTTATTTATGAAACACTTGACAGAGTTTCAAGTGTTTGACCTAATACTTCTCACAGTCTCTCTTTGAGGCAGTTCATCTGAGAGAAACTCTTATATGTTCCACATAAAGTACAGCTAGCAGTATGGAAACAACTGGAAATTGTTCATAGCAACATAAAATGGAGTAGGGTGTTAAATGAAGTCACTTTAACTTCATCGGGTAGGAAAAAGCTTAAGGGGAGCCGAAGCTGTGCGGTATCTTGCATGTTCAAGGTGTGTGTGTCTAACAGTGTGCTGTGCAAGGGGGGGAACTGTCTGTACATATTTAATCTGCTCTTCTGTAGCATAAGGTCCTATTATTTGAAATCTCAATTTTTGTGAGAGGCCGTCACATCCAAGCCCAAAGGCCAGCTTGCGCTGTGCAGGTACCTTAGGGAGGCCATGAAGCTCCTGGCAGGGGTGATTTCTGGACCGTAACTCTCAGCACTCTGTTTTCTCCTCAGTATTTTCTGTACAGATTTCCTCAGGATGTCGATTCAGTCATCATTAAAGTGGTGTCTGATGCAGTCTACCCATGCTCTGTTGTCTCCGTCCAGGACATTGTGGTAAGCCTGAGCAGAGTAAGGAGCTGCCTGCTGGAGCATTGTGTCCTGCTGTGAAGGGGGCTCTGCTCCAACAGAGAGAAAAGACCTGGTGTTTTCTAGGTCTTTTTCACTAGGGCGAAGCCTGGTGGTGGTGGTGGTGGTGGTGAAGAGAGGTTCCCTGAAAGAGGAATGGAAACTGTGGGAAGGAGGCAAAGACAGGGCTGCTTATACCCAGATTTTTATTGTAAATAGATGACCAAGCTGTTTGTCTCCAGCCTGTTCACAGGGCATTTGTTATACCCCCCTTGTAAGGTTTAATACCTTGCTGCGCTATCATATGGGTCTTTTTCTCCATGGAGTGGTGTTAGATGGGATGCTGGTGGCTGAGGGAGGACAGTGCTGTTCCCTTGATGGAGCCTTCTCCTGGCTCAGGGCAGCATGGGAAGCTTCTGACTTCCAGACAGGTGTCTCCTCCTTTCCCATTCTATTCCCTCTCTATGCAGTTACTCATCCCTTTTCGTGGGAAGGGGAGACCAGCTGTTCCCTGCCATAGAAGTTGGCTGTTGCTTGTAGCTGGGCATAGCCCCATATTTATCCTCCTTCCCCAGCTCCCTGAATGATGCAAGGACCTACACTGTGAAAGCAGCATGATGGTGACAGAGATGCATGATGCTGCACAGAGGTGAAGCAGCCTTGGCTGCTGGCTCTGAAATCCTGGCAGTCACCTTTAATACCTGTGGTGAGGAGAGGAATGAGTAGCATGAACTCCTGCCCACATCCTTGTGTTTGAATGGTAGAAGGGCAGGAGCAGAGACTGACAGGTGATTTTCAACCTACCAGATATTAAGAATAGTGGGAAAGAGGAAGATGAGGGCAAACACTTGGCATATAGTATGGACTGCAAAGCATGACACACCCAGTGTACAGCTGAGCATATGCACTGCCCTGTGGGAATGATGAAGTGATCAATCTGGCTGAATGCTTCTAGGATTAAACTGCAGCCTTCTTGTGATACTGCCAAGATCAGTAAGTGCAGGCCACAACTGGTGACTTCAGAGCAGCTTTCCTCACTTCTGAATGGGTCCTAGTTGTTCTGTTCTCCTTGTTATCCTGAGCAGGGCCTTTTTTCTGCTGTTCTGCATTGTCTGTTCTCCTGCAGGCTTCCTGTGAAATTAGTTCAGGTTCTGCCCCTGGTTTAACCCTTAGTTGTGTCTGTTTTAGTGCCCAGTATATGACCTGGACCATAATGTGGAGTTCAATGGTGTTTACCAGTCTATGACTAAGCAGGCAGCCATAACGGTGCAGGTAAGATGCTGATTTTTGTCCCAGTGTTGTTGTTCTGGGTTATTTTTGGTTTAGGTTTTGTTTGTCTGTTTTACTGGCTTGTCCTATGCATTCCTAGCTTGCTTTTGCTACTGGTGTGCTGTGAGCTTTTGCTTTTTAGGTCCGCTGATATAAGCGGAAGAAGTGATATTGCCTTTTACTACAAAACCTTGCTTATGTTTGCTTAGGTAGGTGTGTTATGCTTTAAGTACTGAGGTTCTAGATCAGAGTGGCTGCAGCCAGGTGCCTTGTGTTTGAACCTGGCTCTTCTACTATTGAGTGGTTGTAGTAGAGCCTTTGTAATAAGCAAAGCTTAGGTAGATGGTTTGCACTACTTAAAGTAAATAAATGCATTAGTATTAGCTTGCTTGTACTGGGGCACTGCTGTACTGCATGGTGTTGAACTCAGCTTACTGTCAGCAAGGAGGAGAGGAACACCCCCAGAAGCCAAGCTCTGTGCAGAACAGGCAGATCTCTGGAAGGCAGCAGCCTTGTCTAGTGACTAAAACCTGATTTCTGGCCTTTTGGAGCACTGCCTCTGCTCTGCATCAGAGGGAGAGGCTCCTTCACATCTTATGGAGTCTGTCCTCTTCTATCATCTGTGCAGAGAAAAGATTTTCCAGGTGAGCAGTTCTTCGTTGTATTTGTCATCAAGCCAGAGGATTATGCCTGTGGGGGTTCTGTGCCTTCTTCTGTTCATGGTAAGTTGTACTGGGGGGTGGATTTGGTTGCTGTTGGAGCAGCAGGAGGCCTGTGGGACCTTCTTGTGGGAGGACACAGATTGGTCTTATAGCTCTGTCTCTTCCAAATACCTGTGAGGAAGAGTGATGTATAAACCTGATATTGTTGGGTAGTTTACAAGCCTTGACCAATACAGGAGGTGGCTGGCTGGTACAGCGCCTGGCTTACTAGGGTTATGCGCTTGTTAGAGGAGTCACTGGAGTCTTGGGAGATGGCCAGGGAATGCTGTTTACAGCTTTTTGGAAAAGTTAGTCATTTTAGGAGGATAATTTCACAGATACTTTTTAAAGTCTCTTTGGTTGGGAAAGGCAGTAGAACAAATCAACAAATCTGTTGCCTTTCCCAACCAGAAAACACTGTGTTCACTTCCTGTGCAGTGGTAAAAGCAAAGCCTTCACCACTAATGTGTGGGTGTAGCTGGAGTGGGGACATTGGTATCCTCATAGCCAGATGGCTTCCTCCTGTATGAGAAGCTAGACTGCAACCAGTAAATAGACTGGGCTCCCTCTACAGCCCCTTCCTTCTACCTGTCTCCCAACTGCACCCTTAAAGCAAGAGTTGGCACCTTCTGGGTGTGTTTGCTGGTAGTTTTAGGATCAGGTAGAGTTGTACTGGCAGGGTGTGCTGAGCCCTGCTGAAACAGAGCCAGTCACTAGCGCAGCAACCTGCACACAAGTGATTTGCCAGCAGAGCTTTGGCCAAAGGAAAAATGGTGTCACAGTACCTGTAGTGAGAGAAAGTGCCCTTTGGGGACTAGTTGAATAGGAGATAAGATGCTCCTTGGATTCAGGCATTCAGACCTGCACAGTGGATGGAAGGGTCAAGGAGGGATTTCTCATCTGAAAACCAGGCTGTGGATAGGGAGGAAGGGGAAAACCTACAGAAAAGGCTGTATGCTGATAAGTCTGAGTAAGGTTTAGAGCAAAACCACACACAGGTGATAGTGAAAAGCCAGATGCTGATGTTTTTTTGCAAGTGCAGAGAACTAAGATCAGAGCCAGGGATTTAATGTTTGGTTTTATATTTGCTGTACACTTTGCATCTCACAGGGAATGTCAACCGTACCTGGAACCTGCAGCGGACAAAGAACCTTCAAGTGACGATTGTGCCCTCTGTTAAAAGTCAGTGCCTTTGGGCAGAGCAATGCAACTTTACTTGGCACTTCTGTGTAGAAGGGTATGGCTGGGCTGGCAGCCCTCTGATGGGATGGTAAAGAAAGGACCAGCAAAGGAGTCAAAACCCAACTGCAGCCCTGGTGCCTTCCAGGAGGTGCTGTGTGGCACAGGGTGGTCTCATGGGCAGACCAGCTAGTGCTGGGGTGAAGAAATAAGGGGAGACTTTGCAACAGGTTCTGGCAATTCCTCTTGAGGAAAGCAGATGTGCTCTGGGGGGCTGTTTTGAGTTGGGTGTTGCCACCAGGTGGTGGTGGGAAGAGCAGGATGGGAGCTCTGGCTCTGCGAGGGGCTGTCTCTGCTCTGCATTGTCTGATACGCCATCTCTTTCCTCAGAGTCTGTTTATGTCCAGGCCATGTTCTTCAGCTTCCTGAGTTTCCTCTCCTTTTACCTGGGCTCAGTGGTTGTTGCTTTTGTGCACTACATCAGGTGAGTTGAGGGGTTTTACAAGAGCAACCTTTCTGTCATCTCAGAGATGCCTCACCCTGCAGTACATTTGGGGCCAGTGGGGCAGCAAGCATCTGAACAGAGCAGTGAAAGAAGTCCATGACTACTCAGTATAAGCACCTACTGACCATGAGCCAGATGGGGATCATGGCAGTGTGATACGGTGTGCCAGAGCACTGTGAGGAAAAGGTACTTCACAGAGTGCTGGACTGAGTACTGCAATACGTGGCAGTGACTCAGATAGGGCCCTGGAGTCCTGAGAGTGCTGGTTTCCTTCCTGACCTGTGTCCCCTGCCCCAGACTTTGGTGCCTGGGCTTGTGTTGAGGAGAAGATCTGTGTCTGAAGTGAACTTGGGCACAGGTACCATGACAGGTTGTTCTAGGGCAAAAAAAAAGGGGGAGGAGGGGGAAATAACAAAATCTCTCCCACCACGCTGAGCAGTGTAGGATGGGATGGTCATGTAACTGCTTGTCCTGCCTCTGGTGGATAGCTGAGACAGTAAAATCCCTTCTGTTGCTTTGGAAATGGGAGAGGTGGGTAGCAGGCAGCCATGCCTGAACCATGGCTGGTCCAAACACTGTTTTCCTTTTTTATTGCCTTTGTTTGTTTCTTTTATGGTCTATCTATATTGGGTTGGTTTGTTTTCTAGAGGTTGTACCATATTTACCTATTGGCATCCTAGATAATCCTGCCATGGCTGGCAGGTGATGGGGTTTGTTGGCTATCTCATGAGTGCTGTGTGTTCCTTTTCAGGGTTCAGAGGAAGGCTTCAGCTGGGAGACTGTGTCCTGAGGATGGTAAGGTTTTTCTTTCCTGTGTGACAACTTCTAAATGAACAGCACAGCAAGTACATTCTGTCCCTTCTAGCTTTTTCCCCTGTACATGTACCAAGTAGTTCCTGGTGCTAATAAAAGATAGAGCTTCCTCTCTGCCCTCACAAGGGTGCCTGAAGCAGGCTCCCCTGAACGTGATCCTGACCCCGTACCCCAAGGAGCTGGCTTTTAGAGGGGTGGAGGAAGAGCAAGCCTTGGCTAGATCTGGTTATCGACTAATGTTCTTGATGCCAGGTCTGTTCATTTCTAAGCAGGGCACTCTGAAGTAGCTAGCTCTTGTGTTTTAAGATTTCATCTCCCTGCTTTAAGCATAGGGTCTCTAAGTTTTTAAATGTAATTTAAATTTTAGTTTGTTTTTAACTGGGAAGTATTTTAACAAGTGAATGAATGACTGATAGTTTGGTAGTGCTGCTTGTGTATTTACTTGTGGTATTGGATTCAGTTTACTTTATCCTGCACCCACCTTTCAACATGCTGCAGCTTTCTGCTTTATACAAACATAGCTGCAGCTGAGAGGCTACCAGTGGAAGATGGAAATTTTCATCATGTGAGGAGGGGCACTGGGAGTTCCTGCTTTTTGGAGCAGTGGTGGAGGCTGTTTAAATATTTAGTGCCTGCAGAGTAGTTCAAAGCACTAGTGGTGTTAAGGACATTGTCATTTGTACCCTTCTCCTGGAGAAAGGGAAGATGTTGCCTTTTGGCAGCATTGAAAGGTTCTTGGTGTGTTCCCTTCTTTAATCCTCAGCTCCTTCAGTCTCTTTGGTCGGCTGTATGCCACCAGATAAGCATAGGATTATAACTGAGCTGTACTGAAAAGATCAGCAGTGGAGCTTCACTCTGACATGGCATTACTTGGATTAATGTTTCTGCTGAGGACCTGAGGATATATGGATTCTTCAGCTACTGAGATCCACATATTCATCCCTGTATGTGGAATGTGTGTAAAGGTTTTCTTCACAACCAAATGAGCAGGGGACTGCAAAAGATGTGCTTAAAAATATCCTTATTTTAAGTCATTTGGGATGGATCCTGCTGTAAGACAACATCAGGTCTTAGGCCACTGGAGAAATGGGAAGGGCCTGTGTGCCAGGGAAGTTTGGGAAAGCCAAAGGGACCTGGCAGAGGCTGGAGGCTATGGAAAAGCTCCAAGGTGGTGACAAGGGAACACTGTCTAAGGCAAGGAGGCACAGCCTCAGCCGCCTGAGACCAGGAGCCTCCAGGAGTGCTGCTGGTGCTGGAGCTGAGGGTTCCTGTGCTGAAGGCAGCTCAGAAGCTGCTTTCCAAGCTGCCCTGGAGAGAGGTGCAAGTTAAATTCTGGTGGTTGGGAAGTCCCTCCAGAAGCTGCAGGGCACAAACTCTGTGCTCAGCATGGATCTGGAGGGTTCCAGGGCAGGGAGGTGTCCTGAACACCAGCCCTGTGACAGGACAGAGGAGCACAGTTCCTTCACAGCTCCTCCCAGAGGTATCTCTCCTTCTGTGACCTGTCCTGTTCCTTGCAGTCTGACACCTTCACATGCTTGGCACTGCACATCAGAGCCACGTCTCCTCTGGGGAGGAACTGTGTCCTACCCACATGCTGTTGCTTTCTCTATTGTGTCTCTGCAGGGTGTGTATCTGACTGATGCCTATAAAATGGTAACTAGCATCCCCCCTGTCCTCCACATCACCAAGCGCATGCTGGCTTTCTCTCTTGTTTTTTGTTTGTTTGGTTTTTTTTCTCTTCCCAACCAATGGTATTTCTCTTCCTCTAAAGTACCCCTGATCTCGTTGCCTTCATTGCTCCCCTTTCCTTTCCCCTCTCCAACCAAGAAAGTGTGGATGGAGGTGCTGAGCAATCCATCTCTGCCTTTTGTTTTCAAATATCCTGTAACAACATATGCCCCTTTGCTCATTATGCAAAGGGACATATGCAAAAGCTCCTTTGCACCCACGTTATGCTCAGATTCTACGGCTAAGTTTTATCTAAGCTCATGGCATGCCTCCCATTCCACATCATCACTACCTGGTAGAGGCAGTAGCTGGAGGAACCACACCTAGTGTGGTACATTTACTTTGGTGACTCATTTGCACACTGTGAGAGGTGGGACTGAAATTAGTGGCTGAGCTGGGTCCAGAGCAGCTGGTAGAGATGGGGCAGAGCACCACTTCCCCCTGGCATTCCTGCTTTGTCCAGGTTTAAATCTTTCACAGTATCACAGTATGTTAGAGATTGGAAGGGACCTCAAAGATCATCTAGTCCAATCCCTTTCCTTGGTTACTTGGGAGAGGAGGTTGACAGGTCACTTGAGAGGGTAAAGCCTGGTCTCAAATTAGGAGGGAGCATTCCTATGGGGTAGAACAGACAGGAGCAGGAACTGTGCATGGTGCCATGAACATGGAGTAACGCTTCTTTCATCCTCTTGCTAGTGATCCGGATTTCCAAGTGACTTTACAGCAACAGGAAAAACTGCCATGAGAGAGGGAGGGTTGCACAGTGGGTGATGAGTAGAAGGTGGATCTTGCTCCTGTAACAACCTACAACAGCATCCTGCTAATCACAGCTCAGGGCTGAAGGGGTGTCATGGGGGGGACTGCAGTGTGCCAGAGCCTTCCTTCTGTTCTCAGTCCATGCCATGTTGTCCACTTCTGATGCTCCTCAGGGCTGTTCATTGTCTAATCAGAGAGATGGGGCAGGAGGGTAGAGAAGCTGAAATGGAAACCAGCTCTCTACAGCCCAAGCAGCGCAGTCAATGCGTCGAAGGAAAGCAGAATTTGAACTGGAGTGGACAAATGCATGAGGTGGGGAAGGAGAAGAATTAGAAATTCAGAAGAGTGCTCTGAGTATTGGGAGACCTGCTGTAGAATTTGCCATGTCTTACAGCCCCATAATGTGATTACTACAGGGAGCTGGAGGGAGGCTTGTACTTCTGTGGGTCGAACTGGCAGCCTGTGTGGGGAGGCTGAAAGAGATGGGTTTGCTTCTCATTGCAAAGCAGTGGTTTCCCTTTTGCACAGTATGCCCCTAGAGGGAGACTGCCACCTGTTTGGAGAAACGATGCATTTCCCAAGCCCTCCAGCTCTTCAAGCTGTTTGTATTCACCTCACAGATATGATTCGAAGCATTGATGTGAAACTAATTGTCCCTTTTGGGTCTGCTTCCATGGCAGGATCTGGGATCATGACGCCTTCACAACCCATCACAGCCAGCACCCCTGAGGGAAGCAGCTATGGTGCTATTGGTACAGTATCTTCCAGAACTGAGAACATGGGGAGGGTTCTGTTTGGAGCAGAAGAAACTTTAAGGTGCTTTAAAGCCAGAAGGGAGTAAACCAGCAAACTGCTTTAGGAGCAGCTTGCAGCTACTTGGGAAAACAAAAATAAATAGCAGCTTGGGAAGTTCAGGTTGCACTTCAGGGCAAAGCATCTACATCAGAAAGGTGACACATCTCTGGAAGAGGTGCCCAGAGAGGCTCTGTCACTGGAAATGTTCATCTCAGCTAGACAAGTCACCTGATAAGCGTTGGTGTGTGCTGCAAGGCAAGACAGAATCACAGCTTATTACGGTTTCATTAGGGGAGAAATAATGTCATTCTGTCCACAGGTGAACTACTCCCTGGTAGCAGAGGAGGAAGAAAACCTCTCAATGGTCCTGTTGATCAGAGATGATAGGCAGTGCCTTCCTTTGCCAGAGTATTTCTTAGTCCTTAACAGCAGTTTTCCCTCCTGTGGAGGGATTGGTATTGAATAGCTCAGTGTTGTGGACTTCTGAGCATAATCCTTGAATTTGACAGCCTGGGGACTCAGGTTGCAGGGTGAGGTGGTGCAGGTCCAAGGAAGCCTGAGGCAGCTGCTCATATCAGTGTAACTTTTAGTCCTTGCTCAGGATGCATTTGTTCACTGTGGTGTGAAGTAAGCTCTGATGCTCCAGATGTCATCCACCTATTAGACTGTGAAGGTGTGATATCTCTGAATGCTTGACAAAGAAACATAGAACTGATACTTCATGGGGGTTTTGAAAAATTCAGGAGGACTTAAGTCCTGGAATAGAGGGCTTGGGCACCATCCTGTCCCCCTTCCCCAGTTCCCAAGGAAATGCTTTAAAAGCATTTGGGAAATGAAGAAGAAACTTCTGTTCTGCTCATGTGAGGATGAGCAATGGGCTGGCCGGGAGCTTAGCAGCTTTCTTCTTGCTATGCACAAAGGGATTTAGCCTTTACCCTGCCTGTTTCCTTCTCCTCACTCTGCTCCAGATGAGTCAAGCTCTAGTGGTGGACGACGGTTTTCTTCCCCAGAGGGCAGGCCGCGGGCTGGCTCGGACACAGACAGCTCTGTGGAGGAGGAGAGTGACTTCGACACCATGCCAGAGATTGAAAGTGATAAGAACATCATCCGCACTAAGGTACGGCTGGCAAGTCAGTTGTGGCCATGATGCTGGGCCACGGACACACCTGGGCCAGGACCAGCACAAGTCACTTCAGTTTCAGATTCTCTTTTAGGTGGATCTAATTAAATAAAGCTGAATGTGCTGCTTTGTGGGGTTTGTCAGTCTAGAAAGTTTTCGTGCTGTACTGAGTGTATTGCTGAAATAAGCAATTTAGTATGGAAAATCAGAATGTATTGGGAACTATTGAGAAAGGAGGAAGAAGCACAGAGTGTCCCAGAAAGTCAAAGGAGGTGCAACAGCACAGGGAGAAAATAATATGCAATAGTGGGTCATTATCTGGTATGAGCAGTGTGGCTACAGTGGCTATGCAGATGGGCTTTAAGCTAGCCTCCTTTTCTCAACCCACACTGCTCTGTGTGGTCAGAGCCATTCCTGGAGGTCAGAGAGTTTTGCAGAACTCATTCCCCATAGGATCAAAGGACACAATGAGCTTAATGTATAAAAAATGGTCCAGATAGCACCAAGCTGCCTGTTGTCCCAATACTTCTGTAGTCTTTATTAGTTCTTTTCTGTTTTCATCTGTCTTTCCCTTCCCACTAACATTTTAGGTGTTCCTCTATCTGTCAGACCTGTCCAGGAAGGACCGAAGGATTGTCAGCAAAAAATACAAAATCTATTTCTGGTAAGAAGAGGACAAACTGATAAGTCCCAAGCTCTGGAACCACTCTGTGGTTGTGAAGTCTGCCCACATGCCCTTCTGAACAACACTTTAGACATGAGGGTATTCTTTGAACCACCCTGCTACACATTCTGACCCTGTTCCAACCAGTAACTGCAGATCCACATACCTCAAATAAGGATATTTGTGGACCAGTGCACATGTGATCCTGGCAATGGATTCTGGTTTGCATAATTGCTTTAAAGTGTGGTAACAACCAGTGTGCTGGAACATACTGGGGGAGGGGAGAAATTGGCTCTCAAACACGTGAGATTGTGGTCCACATGCTGCTTTTTCTTGTGCCTTTAGCATTTGCCTCACGTTTGTTTAATGTCTTGCTTCAGAAGATCATAGCCAGGGGTATAAAGCTTGCAGGATCTGTGCCCTTGGGCATCAAGGTGTACACCTTCCTCCACAAGCACTGTAGGGATCTCTCCTGTGTGTGCACCAATTGTTTTGGTGTAACTGCTGCTACTGTCTCTTCTCTGCAGGAACATCATCACCATTGCAGTGTTTTATGCCCTGCCAGTCATCCAACTTGTCATCACTTACCAGACGGTGAGTTGGGTTCTGTCTGTCCCCCTTGTTTGGATCCTCTTGTCCTTTAACTTGCTCTGTGGTTGCATGGTGTAAGGATGGCAGTCACAGTGAAACCCAGGAACCCTGCTAGGCTGAGGAGCTTACCTTAGCTGCTCTCTCTGCTCTGTGTCGAGTGCAGCGTGGCTTTCCAAGCTTGCAGTTCTGCTATTTTTGCTTGGGAAGTGGGAGTGTAGCTGGCTTTTCTGCTCATCTGATGTCTCATTTGGGTCCTATTTCATTTTAAAGGCAGGAGAAATCTGGTGTTACCTCTAAAAGGCAACTGAAAGCAAGTAGGGTTTGCTATATGAGTGATTTCTCTTCTCCCCACCCTTGCTATCCTGCTGTTATTCAGGTATCTGCAAGCAGATCTATTTTAGTGGTGGGGTTGAGAGCACAAAATGTATTTCCTCTGAAGACCATTGTCAGGTTTGTGGCCTGTGGCAAGATCTTATCGTATGAAGGCAGGCTGAGAACATTGGGGCTGTTCAGCCTGGAGAAGAGAAACTGTGTGGAGACCTCAGAGCAGCTTCCAGTGTCTGAAGGGGGCTACAAGGATGCTGGAGAGGGACTCTTCATCAGGGACTGCAGCGACAGGACAAGGGGTGATGGGTTTAAACTAAAACAGGGAAAGTTCAGGTTAGATACAAGGAAGAAGTTGTTTACTGGGAGGGTGGTGAGGCACTGGCTGGAACAGGTCGCCCAAAGAAGTGGTGAATGCTCCATCCTTGGCAGTGTTCAAGACCAGGTTGGACAGAGCCTTGGGTGACATGGTCTAGTGTGAAGTGTCCCTGCTCATGTCAGGGGGCTGGAACTGGATGATCTTAAGGTCCTTTCCAACGCTAACCATTCTACGATTCTATGAATCACAAAATAGCTTGAATTGGAAGGGACCTTCAAAGGTCATATAGTCCAGCCCCTCTGTAATATTGTCCACCCATGAAAAGCTTCACTGCAGATGTCAATACCCCACTGCACCAGTGTTAAAGCCAGGCTGTGTCCTGGTACACCTTGTGTTACATGCTGTGTTTGGATGAAGCAAACCCCACAGAACAAGGAGGATATGCTAATACTGGGTCTTGCACCTCCTCTTTGTCCAGGTAGTGAATGTGACGGGCAATCAGGACATCTGCTACTACAACTTCCTGTGTGCTCATCCCCTTGGGGTGCTGAGGTGAGTGAGCCCTGCGGTCACTGCATTATTGTCTTGTGCCTCCTGAGAGTTTGTGCTGAGCCCAGGTCAGGATTTTATCCTTGCCAGGCTCATAAGAAGAGTGTTTAGATCACTGAGAGTTTAGGACTCTGAGCTTTCTCTTTTGCTCAGTAGTGGCTTTCTGTTGCAGTGAGACACATGCATCCAGGATCAGATGGCTTGTGGGTTCTCCTAGCAAACCTGTGGCACAGCAGAGAGGTGCTCCCATGCTCTTCTGGACATTTCCATTTGTATCCAATGAGCAGCAAAGAAGTTCAGATCAGACGTTACAGTGCAATGTTCCTCTGAACTGATGTGAGAGTGCAAAGGCAGCTCAGAGTTGGGATCTTGCCCCAGTGCATTTAACGCTCTCTCTGCAAGTGAACTATTCAACCTAAAGCTGCAATCCAGGGTGTAAAACTGGCAGGTGTTTGGTAGCTGCTGAGGTGGAGCATGGGAGGGGGGGAGCAAAATGGATTCAGTTTATCAGGGCCCAGAGTTCAGCTTCCTGTTGCTGTGCTGCCTTTGTCTTAAACCTTCTTTTTCCCTGCAGTGCCTTCAACAACATCCTCAGCAATGTGGGCCACATGCTGCTGGGCTTTCTCTTCCTCCTGATTGTGTTGCGCAGGGACATTCTCCACCGTCGTGCCATGGAGATGAAAGATGTCTATACACTGGTAGGAAGCATGGCTGCATGGGGCTGAGTGGAGGGAGAAAAGACAGGGAGAGCTTGCAAACCAAAGTGATACACAGTGGGTTTCCCTTTTCCTTCCTTGCTGGAGAATTGAATCCTCCTCTTTTTTTCCAGCGCTGGAAAAGGGTCTCAGTGGGATGCTTACATTCTTGCACACCCCAGTACTTGGCTGCTTACAGTATGTCCATACTGCCTTAGTGATCCAGCCTGGGCTTGCAAAGACAAGGAGATGAGTAGAGGTCTCTGTGCTGCACTGGTGACTGAAGGATGTGTGTAGGGTTTAGAAGGGATGGAGTGATGGAAGCTTGCTTGACATCAGAACAGTGAGGGTACTTGCTATACAGCTCTGCTCTCTTCCAGGACTATGGGATCCCAAAGCATTTTGGTCTCTTCTATGCTATGGGCATTGCTCTGATGATGGAAGGGGTGCTCAGTGCCTGTTACCACGTCTGCCCTAATTACTCCAATTTCCAGTTTGGTAAGCTGAATTTCCTCCCTGTGTTTGAGCTGGAGGTAGGATTTAGCATGCTTTGTCTTCTGCTGAGTTGCTCATTTTTCACACCCCTCTACCTTTGCAAACTTCCTTGGAGTCTGCCTGTTCCAGGGCTCAGCCAGGAGGCAGTGAGGCTTTGGATGCTGGGGACTAACACATTTCAGCCTCCTCTCCAGACCTTGGGACTCCGGTAGTGCACTGCTGGCAAGATCTCCCTTTTGCAGCTCAGTGTTTGAAGGTAGTCAGCAAACAGGCTTGAGTGGCAAAGTGCTCAAGCCTAGGAAGCCTCTGTTTGCCATCTCTGTGGAACATTTCCTTTGTGGGCTCCTTTGGCTTCCTGAGGAAGAAAAGACAGAGGCTGGTTTTTGTCTATGTGCATAAATACTCAATTAGAATGAAGATGAGTGAGCCAGATTCTTCTTAGTAGTGCCCAGTGGCAGAACAAGAGGCAGTGGGCACAGATTAAAACACAGGAAACGCCATCTGAACACAGGAAAATGTATTACTGGCAGTACCTGTTTTAACTGTTCCTGTTGTGCTCCCTTCACAGATACCTCTTTCATGTACATGATCGCAGGACTGTGCATGCTGAAGCTCTACCAGACTCGCCACCCAGACATCAATGCCAGTGCCTACTCTGCCTATGCCTCATTTGCTGTGGTGATCTGTCTGGCCGTCCTTGGAGTGGTATGGGTCCCTCTTACTTACCTGCTGCTGTGGGAAGGAGATGATGTGCTTAAGTGGGCAAATGACTGGGGAGAGAAGCAGAGTACAATAAGAGCATGTTAAGCAGCTGCTAGCATTTGAATTTCTGGTACTCTGGGGTTTCCTTCTTCCTTCCCCTGGGTTTGCAGGGAGGGGAAGAGCAGAGCAGTTTTCTCTAGTTGGGCTCCTTTTTGGACTTTGACCACCACATAGAATCATAGAATAGTTAGGGCTGGAAAGGACCTTAAGATCATCAAGTTCCAGCCCCCTGACATGGGCAGGGACACCTCACTCTAAACCATATCACCCAAGGCCTCGTCCAACCTGGCCTTGAACACTGCCAGGGATGGAGCATTCACAACCTCCTTGGGCAACCCATTCCAGTGCCTCACCACCCTAACAGGAAAGAATTTCCTCCGTATATCCAATCTAAACTTTCCCTGTTTAAGTTTTAACCCTTTACCCCTTGTCCTGTCACTGCAGTCCCTAATGAAGAGTCCATCCCCAGCATACCTATATGCCCCCTTCAGATACTGGAAGGCTGCTATGAAGTCTCCACGCAGCCTTCTCTTCTCCAGGCTGAACAGTCCCAACTTTCTCAGCCTGTCTTCATATCCCTCCTTCTTAAGAGGAAAACTCTGTGCATGCAGGGTGTGTGTGTCCGAGCATGCAGCTGGTCTCCTGCGTGGTGGCTCAACTTGGAGGAGGGGGCTGAGGCTGGCTGAGCTTCCAGGAGAAGCTCTACCAAATTGCTTGTGCCCCTTTCTGCCCTTTGGAAAACTCTGTTTCTGGGCACAGCTCCTGCACTTGGCCTTCCTATCTTTGGGGAAGTGCAGGGCTGCAATAACAGCCTGGGGGCTCCCAGGCAAGTTTCTGCCTTGGACCTGCCTATAGAAGGGCACTGGAGCAAAAGGAGTCACTAGAATTGCTCTTGCGCACCAGTAGTCACAGACAGGTCAGACTTGTACAGGGCTTTGCCCATTTGCTCATAGCATTGCAATTACTGAGCTCGGCTTGCCTGAATCCCCAGCCTGTGCTTTACCTTGGAGTCTCTGCTTTCCTTCTTTTTAAGGACTTCCATTCAGCTGCTCTGAAGTAGCAGCTAGGTCCCAGTGGGCTGTCAGCCCCTTACTACCACACACCAAGCAGAGTATCAATTGATTCTGCATAGGCCTCTGTCCAATAAGGCATGCAGGAGCACCTGGTGAACTTGGGACCTTATAAGAATCTCTTGATAGCTCTGGTAGATCTGTACATCCAGGTTCAAAACACTGGGGTTTTATTATGGGACGCTGTTATCTTCCCTTGTGGGATACTTTTAAGCTGTTCAGTGTAGCTTGTAAGCTGCATGTTTCCCTTGCTCTGTTGATATAGAGGTGGCTTTTCTGCTTGATTTCCCCCACCAAAGATCAGGTGAGGGCTGTGCTCCAGGGGAGTGTGTGGTGAGAGCCTGATGGCAGACCTGAGTTTCTGGACTCCTTAATGTATAATGAAAAACTAAGGTTTTAATATAGCATTAACATGCATTTGTAAGTCACTTCCAGATCTTAAAGCAAAAGTGTGGAGCAACGCCTGCAGGGCAGTTTTGTGCCTTTTGGTCTACTGCAGTGCACTTGTTAATGTTTGATTCCCTGACAGCCTTTGTAGAAATCCAGCTCAGCAGAAAAAACTTCCCTGGCCTGAGGGTCCCTCCATTTCTGCTCCCTGGACCAGCTGATGTCCTTCCAAACTGCTGTTTTTCACTGGAAGAGTGTTTAGAAAGAATGGTCTCCTCTCCAGAATACTGAGCTCCTCTTGCTTCGCTGAACTCTGTTTTGCATTTATAGATCTGTTTTCAGGTTGGAAGGTTAGGGGTTTCTATTCCATACTCAGTGAGGTTGTCTAATGCCCCACAGTGATATAGGACAGGAAAGGATTAGCCTGCTGATAACTGAGCTCTGTTTGCTTTCAATATGTCTTTGCTTTCAGGTGTTTGGGAAAAATGACATCTGGTTTTGGGTCATTTTCTCAATAATCCACGTTCTGGCCTCGCTGGCTCTCAGCACACAGATCTACTACATGGGTCGCTTCAAGATTGGTAAGTGCTATGATTGAACCAGCTTGCTCTCGGGTGTGCAGGTGCCTCCTGCCCTCAGCTGCATGAGTTGCCTATGCAGCATGTCTGTGAGCAGTCTCATTCTGGGTTATCCTGTCCTCTTATCCATCTGATGCTCTTCTGGCATCTTCTGAACTGCTCTGCTGCTGCTTCCCAGACCCATGGGAGTCAGCAGGACCTGTTTGCACTCTGGTGGCAAAAGAGCTGGGCTCTGAGGGTGCCTGCCCTTCAGCTACAGCTCTCCCTAGCACTGTGCTCAGAGCAGTAGCGACATAAAACCCTATCATGGGATGAGAGGGAAGAGGGTTTGGTGGGGAAGCTGGCTCTTGTGCTCTGCTTGCAAATGTATTTCTCCTTCCTTTTCTGCTCCTGTCTGCCTCAGATGGCTCTGAATCAGGTAACTGTCAGCAGCTCTTATTTTTTTCTCTGTTGAACTGATTGAGCAGGGGTGTAGCAGCCAGATATGCATGGATGTGTGTGGGGAGGCAGGCTCGTGTGCCACCTGGGGTGGGCTCTTGAGAAGCGAAGTCAGTTTGCCAGCAGCGCTGCCAGTCCTGTTCCTTGGCAGGAAGGTGGGGATACAGCACAGGAGAGCTCTGATCTTCGTGCAGGAGCCTTTTCAAGCTCCACATTTGTGGTTGGTGTGTGTGTATGCATGTCTATCAATCCCGCTGCCACTGATGGCTCTCCAGTGAAGCTTTTGCAGTGATTTTCAGAGCAGGAGTGTCTTGAGTCTGCTCTGGCCCTCTAGCACCCTCTCAGGGCGGTGGGATCTGTTTCTGATGTTTCCCTGCTCTGGCAGCTTGTTCCATGGAAGGTGATTATTTTTTCCCCCCCTTCCTGCACAAACATCTCTTCCAGAGATGAGATTGCAAAGCTTTACCTGTTGTTCTGGCCACATGTTATCCACATCCTGTGGAGGCTTCCCTTCTGCTCCCAAAGGGCAAGAAATGAATGCTGACACCTTGACCACCCACAGGCTGGGTTCTGTGTTGTCAGCTAGTGGGTGTCTGTGTCTTCCCCCATAGGCATTTCAGAGCTCACTCTGCTGGCTGTTCTGGCTTTTTCTCCTCTTCTTTGACAGACTTGGGGATGTTTCGACGGGCGGTGATGGTGCTGTACACAGACTGTATCCAGCGGTGCAGTCGACCTATGTATATGGTAAGTGATTTCTCACCTTGGCACCTCTCTTAGCAATTGCTCACTTTCTAGGCAATGTGCAGAGGAAAGAGATGTGGCTGTGTGAGGAATGATGCTCCCTGCTTCCCTTCCTTGCTTTCCCCAGCATTCAAAGGGATGGCTATGAGGCTCTGTGCAGCGCAGCCTCTTTGGGGAGGGCACTGACTATTTTGTTCAGTGGCTTAAGCAGTAGCTATTGCTATTTCTACAGCACCTCAGGGCAGACAGCAAGAAGAGGTAAGAAATGGTAGCTGCTACCTTGTGTCCCACTGATGGCTTTCTTCTTGGCACAGAGTGCTAATGAGGGCTTGAAGCCAAACGAAGCTTTATCCATGAGCATCCTGTTCATGTGTTTTTACATTTATGTACTCTCCTGTCTCTGAATAAGTGTCAGCCCAAGTTTTGCAAGCAAACTTGGTACACTCAGGCATAAAGTAAGGCTGGCTGGACTGAAAGAGCTACATCATAGAGTCATAGAATAGTTAAGGTTGGAAAGGACCTTAATGAAAGCAGCTGTAAGCATAAATGCACGTGCTCCACAGATGTAATGTGTCTGCCTGCTGCAGTTCCAGGGCTTCCCTAGCTAATGATGAGACGGGTGAAAACAGGCCCTGTGGCAATGTGCAGGATGGTATTCCAAAGCTTCCCTTGCTGCCTCTTTCAAGCACATCCTCCCTCTGTGCAATATTTTTTCTGTAAAATGGAGGGAGACAAGGAATCTTGCTACAAAAATAGTGGAAACAAAGGCTTTGCAGAACATCCTGGGGCTGATTCTTAAGTGCTAGGCTTGGACTTCTTTAGATGTTTAGTCTCCTTGCAATGCTTTCTTCAGATTTGTAAAGGCCAGAGCAGTTTCCACCTGGAAAAAGCCCCTGCAGCGCAAACTTCAGAGCCAGGTGCATGTGTGTTTGCAGGAGCCAGATTCCGACTCCTCACATAATGATATCATGAATTCCTGAGGCAGAAACCTCTGTGCATTTCCTTCTGCTTTCATATGATCACCAGTGTCTTCTCTCCCAGGACAGGATGGTGCTGCTCATTGTTGGAAACCTGGTCAACTGGTCCTTGTAAGTAGTGGGGTGCAGGTGTCTTGCATAAACATGGGTAGCAGGGTTCCATAGTGGTATACAGGCAGCCTGAATTGGTGGGGAAACGCAACAGTGTGCAATAATCCTGTGCTGGAGCCCATCTGACATGTTCTGGCAAGGAGCTTGATTGATGAGTGCTGATGGGTAGCAGATCCTTAGAGTAATAGAATAGAATCATACACTAGATTGGGTTGGAAAGGACCTTAAGATCATCCAGTTCCAACCCCCTGACATGGGCAGGGATGCCTCCCAGAAGACCAGGTTGCTCAAGGTTCTGTCAAGTCTGGCCTTGAACACTGCCAGGGATGGAGCATTCACTATTTCTCTGGGCAGCCTATGCCAGCGCCTCACCACCCTCACAGTAAACAACTTCTTCCTTATATCTAACCTGAACTTCCCCTGTTTTAGTTTGAACCCATCACCCCTTATCCTATCACTACAGATCCTGATGAAGAGTCCCTCTCCAGCATCCTTGTAGCCCCCTTCAGACACTGGAAGCTGCTCTGAGGTCTCCACACAGCTTCTCTTCTCCAGGCTGAACAGCCCCAATGTTCTCAGCCCATCACAGGATGCAGTGCAGCACTACAGAGCTATGTGAGGCATCCCTGAACATTTCAGCTGGTGGCTTGCATCTGGTTGAGCTTGTGTAGGGCTCTCTGGTACTATGGTGTTGCCCTGTGCTGTACCTGTGCCTTCTATGTAGCTGGAAGGTCTCTGGCACATCCAAGGTGCAGGAGACTTGACAGACACTTGTGAGTAACAGCCACGGAGCCTGGCTCAGCAGTATCTGTGTGGATGGGAGGAGTTAGCTCTTGGATGAGACCTAAAATCATTGTGAAAAGCTCTTGCTTTTCACTAAAAGGTGCTTCTCAGGGACATGCCTTCTGCTAAACCTACAGGTCTGGAGCCAACTCCTATTGGGTGAGATGTGTTTGGCTGTGGGGTGGAAGCAACCCAAAGCCCTTGCCTGTCCTCTGGGGCCTTCGGTTGCTCTCAGGCATTGACCATGGCCAAGTTTGCTTAGCAGGGAGCAGAGGCAAATGGAGCATTTCCTCCAGGGAACTGGGAAGCTATGACAGTGTTGTTGTGTCCTGTGGTTGGTGGGCAGTGGGTGGCTGTCAGTTTGGGGATGTACCCTGTCCCCAGTGAAAGGGCTGTCTAACGTCCCTTCTTCCCTCTCTCTTAGTGCCATCTTTGGGTTGGTGTATAGGCCCAGAGACTTCGCCTCCTACATACTGGGGATCTTTATCTGTAACCTCTTGCTATATCTGGCTTTCTACATCATCATGAAGGTAAAGGGAGGCAGCCGTAGCTGTCCTGTCCCTGGGGCACCTGTCTCAAAGGGGAAAGGATGGGCATCTTTTTCTGGCTGCAGTTTGTGTTCCTGTGGTGCTGCTGAGGGATGTGGATGGGTTGTGGGGCTAAGGGTGCAACAAGGTGTTGGTGTTGGGAAGGGATGCTGTGTGGCGTGGCTGGGCTGTATTTCCCTGGGATGGGGAGCCCTTTGTAGCTGCAGCTGGTCCTGGCTGGCATGTCAGTCCTTTGCATGCCTCCAGACCCTGGGAAGGGCTCAGGGCATGATGTGAGGCTACTTACCTATTTGCAGCTCCGCAGCTCTGAGAAGCTCCTGCCCGTCCCCATGTTCTGCATTGTGGCCACAGCAGTGGTGTGGGCAGCTGCCCTGTACTTCTTCTTCCAGACCCTCAGCAGCTGGGAGGTAAAGTTTCCCTTTCACTGACCTTCTGTCCATCTGTGTCTCATCGTCCTTCCTTCCTGTTGTTCATTTCACACAAAAGATACTCCCAGGAAGAGTCTTGGGCTGCTCCTGGAGAGCTGAAAGAATTAACCCCTTCAGCAGACTGGGATGGGAGCATGGGAAGCTGTGTGGTGACTGTGCAGCTTATGCTATGCAGGGCCTCAGATATGGAGACCAGAGGGGCCCCCAGCCGTGGGCTGTGGCCCCAGATTCATCTCCAGGTCTAAGTATGACATTGCATTCCTGCCCTTCTCTCGCCACATGTCCAGCCAGCACGGTCCTTTTTCCTGGCTTCTGATGGAGAGATAAGACAGGGTGTTCTCCAGAGGGTCCAACATGGCCAGAAAGGTCCCTGTATGAGTGGCTATTGGGTAGTGACCCCTTGCCTGCTCCCCTAGGAGACTCCAGCAGAGTCCCGGGAAAAGAACCGGCCATGCATCCTGCTGGGCTTCTTCGATGACCATGACGTTTGGCACTTCCTCTCTGCAGCTGCCTTGTTCTTCTCCTTCCTGGTGAGTCCTGCTGAGCCTTCCACTCTGCTCTATGGCCTCACCCTCCCCTCTCCCTTCATGTCCCTCTGTGTACATGGAGCTGTGGCTGCCTCAGGACCCCACAGAAGTGCTCAACTTCTCTGCTTGGCTCTGCCTCCTGACACCCTTCACAGTAGGATCAGGCTTTGTCAGTTGGCTTGTTGCTCCCTGTGCTTCCTGACATCAAATTCCCTCTGGGCTGTGGGTCGCACAGCTATTGTGGGGAAGCTAAGGGGCTGCTGGTGTGATCAACCCTCTCATAGGTTTGTGAGGACCTCCCAGGAAGGGACCCTACCCCCTTTGACCCAGGCAGTAGAGTCACTGGTGTGGAGCTCACCTCACTCCGCAGCTTTCCATCACTTCCATAATTGTCTCCTATGCTCCTTTACTTGGAACCTCTTTTCAGGCCTGGTGGTCTTTGTGGCGGCAAAGGTGGAGGCCTCCCCTGTGATGGGGTCAGAGTATATTGTTTTGGGGAAGTAAAAAGTGGGACCCTAACCCCAGTTGCACAAAGTACAAACTGAAGGAGCTGCCTGGCCACTTGCAATGCCTGTCAAGCAGTTCTCATGCTGCTGCCTCCTGGATGGCTATCCAGAGGCTAGGACCAGTTTACAAGCAGCATCTCCATCATAATTGAGGCATGATTACCTGCTCAGGTTCTGGCAGCACTGTAGGCAGAGCTATCTGTCAGCTGTGCTGTCAGAGTGACTTGCTAGGAGCATTACAGAAGCAAAATGAATGTGGCTTATCTCCATGGGTTGCAGTTGTGACACCTGTACATGCTGGAGACGTGGCCCAGGTGGAACCCCCCTGTGATGTGATGCTGTCAGGAGCTGGTCACTCTCCCCAGCTGCGGGCTGGCCAGTGAGACCTGAAGCTGCCTCGTGCTTTCCTCCTCAGGTCCTGCTGACCCTGGATGATGACCTGGATGTGGTGCGCAGGGACAAGATCCCGGTGTTCTGAGTGCCAGGGGATGAGGGCGCAGGGGCGTCCCAAACTGCTCAACCAAAGCCATTGGGTCGCTGGCATCTGTGGGGAATGAGCCTGCTCCTGTGGCCACCAGCCCTGCGGGAGCAGGGGAGCTGGATCCCACAGCATGCGTGAAGGGTGCTGCAGTAAGTGAGGTGGGACTGGGAGGGAAGATGCCATTTTCTCCTTTCTCACCACATCCTCTGGGGCAGGAGTGACCCAGCACTGAGGCCAGTGCACAGCCCTTTGGCTTGTAGGTGCAGCAGGTGCTGGAGCCAGTGAAGAGGGAAGAAACAGGAGGTGTTTGAGCACTTGGCTTCCCTTCCTCCCTGCTGATGTGCTCTGCTTCCTCTCTGGTGAGCAGGCTTGAGAAGTGCAGTGCAGCTCTTCCTGCATTGGCAGCTGGTGCCTGTGCCCTGCAGGCTGCTGCCCTCTGATAGTTCCTTTGGCATCATGGGGAGAGTGTTCGGTTCCTGTCCTGCAGCTGCCAAGGAAGCAAAGGACTTCAAACTGAGGTGGCAGTGGGACACTGCTCCTGTAGTGGTAGGAAGCCATGGTAACAAACCACTGCAGTGTTGCAGGGAGATGATGGACTAGGGTTGCCCACCAGTGCTCTGCCACTTTGCTCTTGCAGCCCCTCACTTACTTGTGTTGAACAGCATTGGTTCTCTCTGGTGGCTTCTGCACAGGCACTTGTCAGTGTGATGGTGTCCTTCACAACACCAGAACTGCTGTCCTCAAGGGGCCCTAAGAGAGACAGTGTGGTGAGGCTGCAGCCTTGTGCCCTGGGCACCTTGGTTCCTGCTGTGTGGGCTTGCTAAAGGAACAAGGTGGAAGGGAGAGGCCATCCAGCAGCCTCAGACTTTCTCCTTTCACAAGCTGGCTTTAGGTAAACCTGGCAAAGCAGGATCCCTTTCGGGCTGGGAATGGGGAGGAGGTTTTGGGGCAGTTGGGGTTGAGCTCTTTGGCTAAAGATCTGGACCAAACTTCCCTGTTCTCCAACTCTTCTGCATCTGGGATAAGTTTTTAAATGGCTTCTGCATTCTTCCTCAGTTCTTAGTTATTTAAAAAACAAGAATAAGGTGTGAATTATTTCAGGCCTTGCACCTAAAATGTGACCTGTTTTGCTAATTTTGAATTAAAAAAGGATTCTTTGAGGCCTGCTGTCCTTGTCACTCTCTGAGCATTTTTCCTTTGGAGTATGTGCATGTACCTGGTGATGCAAAGGCTCCATTCCACTTGTGCTTACCAAAGCAGGAGGCTGTGGTAATTTTCTACTTGGAGAAGTCTGCATCTCCTGGTAAGGTTTTGCACCAGTTGGTGTTTATTTTACTTTTCCTAAGTTGGTGTTTGTCAAGATGGTCAATAAAATGAATGTTCCTGGTTCTCTGCTCTGCAGAATGAGCTGAATTCTTCTTGCTCCAGCTTTCAGCAGCAGCAACGAGAGCACTCAGGGCAGAGGGGTACCAATGGTGTCCTCCCTAGGACCCTCACAAAGCTGAGCGTAGGTGCAGATGACCTGCTTGGTTACAAACTGCCTTTGTGAGGCTAAATAGAGTAAAGAACAGACACTTGTTGCTCACTGAGGCCCCTTCAGCAGGGTGACGAGGGGCTGGAGGAGGAATGACACAAAACCAGCTGTTAATCTTCCTAGAGATGGAGCTGTGATTCAGGCAGGGCATGCCAGAACGAGCAGGTGGTGGTCCTTGTGTGCTGCCTTACATTACAGTGCTTTGGGCTTGATGTGGGAGGTTTGCCATGTGGATGGAGTCATGAATGGTTCTTGTTGGAAACAGCAGCGTGTTTCTCAGGCTTGTTGTGAAGCACAAGCTTCTCTTCCTTAACAGTGTCAACACGGGCTGCAGGGGAGGCGACAATGCTTGCTTTTGTCTGAGTAGCACCAGCAGAGGAGCATCAAGCTTAGGAGAGTCCATACTTTGCATTCAGCCACCCTGCAGCCTTGCCATATGTTCTTGGCTAGTCAGGCTTGCCCGCTGCTTCCTTTCTTCCTAGAAAGTGCCTGCCAGCACTAGCAGGTTCAGCACCAACTCCCAAGAAATGCTAAACCAAAGGGAAGCCTCCATTGGAGTCAAGGCTTGTCTTGCTCCTCTGGGAGCCGGAGGGAGATGTGTAGATCTCACCCAAGGTGGGAGGCAATTCTGGGGTGATGAAAGGTGCTTGAAGCAGAGATACTGCCCTCCTGCTGCATGAGGCTCAGCAGTTACAGCATCTGCCTCCTGTAGGAGCTTCGCTAGCTCTTAATCCTCTAACTGCGTGGTTTCTCTGGTGTCCATGCACCAGTCACAGCTTGCAGCTGTAAAGCGCTCCAGAGCCCACTGAATGCCTTCATATGAAGTGGACAAGTCTGGCCAGAGACTCCTGTGTGGTTTCTTACTAGAATTAGCAAATGCTGCCTCCCTCAGTTCCCTTGAGACAGAGAGATGGGCAGTAGAGTGGCACTAGTTCAAACACATGTTGGTCTTGGCAGATGGTCAGAACTGGTGAGCAAACAGGTATTGAGGCGAGTGGAGAGCAAGACTTGGAGGAGCCAGTGTTGGATCCTGCTGTTTGTGAGTCTAACCTGAAGTGCTCTTTGTTCACTGTGCTGCCTTCACACCCCTGCTCAGTCAGGTGCAGGATGGGCTCTTGGCCTTGCAGGACTGTTCTTACCCTGTGTTTAGGTGTGGAGAAGGCTGAGCAGCTTTTCCTCTTCTACAGATATGTTCTGCTCTTGGTGTATTTTATGGTGTGCAGAAATCAAGGACATGGGATAAAGTCACGGAATAGTAGGGCTATCATTTCGGTGCCAGAAGGGCTTGTGTGCCCCAAAATTGTCCAGTTTCGGACACGCGTTTTCATTCCTTCTCCTTGTGTCTTCCATAGTTTATAATCTCAGACCTTGTTCCAGGCTTGTTTTTGTTTCTAGCTGGCAAGCTGGTATCTTCAATAAATAGGTATGTCAGAAAAAACTCGTGTTGAACAGCAGTTGGAAGGCTCAACGTAGGAGGTAGAAGAGCAACATATGGGCTCACTGAGCTAAGCAGGGATGAGCACAGTATAAAAAGGGGAAGGTGGTAGTAGTGAGGGAGAGAGGGGGTGGAGAACAGCACTGAACAAGCAGGAAAACATGCAGTAACTTTAAATAAATACAAGGAAAGGCATTTCTAGCCTCAGAGATGGGAGAAAGGGATGGAATTGTCTCCCTGCTGCTTCTGTGCTTCCACTTTAGCCCCTTCTGCTGGTCTGTGCTTGTACTTCAGCTCCTTGGGCCCAGCCTGGCATGGCTCTGCCTGGTGGGTGCCAGGCTGGGCCCTCGGGCAGCTCTGCTGTGCAGCCCCCCTGACCAGCAGCTTGTGCCGTTAGTCCTTCTGTCCTCCTCCAGGTGACTGCCCTCAGGGAAGGTAGCATCAGAGAACCATGGAATCAACCAGGTTGGAAAAGACCTTTAAGATCGTGAAGTCCAACTGTTCCCCAGCATTGCCAAGGCCACCACTAACCCATGGCACTGAGGGCCTTGTCTATATGGTGTGTGAACACTTCCAGGGATGGTGACTCCAGCACTGCCCTGGGCAGCCTGTTCCAATGCCTGAGCACCCTTTGGGGAAAGAATTGTTCCTAATCTCACTGTAGGGGCTGAGGAATGGGCCTGTCTGGGAATGGTGGCTGCCGGCATAACTCTGTGTTCCTGCGCAGGAATGACTGCCCAAAGCTTCTTGCAGTTCCTCATTAAATACTCATCTTGTGATTTGGCAAATAAGCTGATGTTTGCTGGTTTTTACAAGCAAAAATGCTGTTAACACCCAGTTTAGTATAACTGTGTTACAGCCCCTGCAGCACCTTCCCTGGGCCTCCACCAGCTGTCCTAAGTGCAGTGCTGTGGGTGGGTCAAGGGATTTTGGGTGCTCCACAGCCATGAGATCAGTAGGCTCTGCTCTACCTGCCCCCCCTGTCTCTTCCCTCTTCTGTGCTCTTCTCTTTCCACAGTTCCTGAAGGTGTCTCCCAGAGCTGTGCTGCCCTGGGTACGCAGGGGCCGTGGGTACCACCATCCCAGTGCATTTTCCCTCTTGCATCAGGAAATGGAGGTAAAGTTGTTCTGCCAACTCAAGGGTGACAGAAAGAGCTTTTGTATAATAATAATAATAATAATAATACCCCCTCGCAGTGTAGAAAAGTGAATTATGGATTACGAGGATCACACAAACTGACACTGTTACAGCTACTACCACCACCTCTGAGCTGGCAGAAGAACAGCCAAGGCAGGGGCAGCACAATACACTTTGAACTGTGAGGGCATGGTTTTAGGGGAGATGTTAAATGCAGATTATCTGTGCTTGTTAAACTGAGGGGAAATGGTCTTGAGGTTAGCAGTGCTGTTAACGGGGTGTATTTGAGACTGAGGTGTGGTGCTGGGGCTACGTTCCAGCTTAAGATGGGAGAATAAACAGTTTGAGCCTGTTTCACTTGTGCTTCTGGATATGGTTTCCTTCATGTACGTGTGGCCCTCAGGTTGCAGTTAGCCAGGGGTGAGGGCATCAGCCCATCCTTGAAATCATTCAGATGGGATGGCTCCTGTCCTCCTTCCTTTCCTGTGACAGAGCAAGTTGCTACAGCAGGAATGCCACCTTTACCCAGGGTGCTGGCAGCACACTGCCACTGATGTTGGGGCTGTTGTTCCTGGGCAGTGCTGGGTGCAGTTAACCAGCCCTCCCTGCCACCTCTTGGGCCAGAACTGCCCTTTCAAGGCTGGGCAAACAGGCTGGGAGTAGGTTACTGTGGCTGCTCAGAGGCCACCAGTAGTCCTGCACACAGCTTCTTGATAGTCTGAAGCACAGTGAGCTCTGAACAACTCCCATCATTAAACTGTAGTTACTGGAACAAAATAAAAGCTCATCTATCATAATACTAAGTTTTAATTAAAGCAAACATAATCTTTCTTAATGGCAGCTTCTCTATCCCCAAGAATGTTAGTTAGGTACTTCATTATCAGTTGGGGTTTCTTTGGGATTAGGTGATTTTATACAGCCAAATGAGGTGGTGCATAACTCTGGTGTACACAGAGAATAGAGAGCAGTGCAGAGCTGTAACTGTCTGTTCCCAGGCTCAAAACAAAGCTTTGATTTTTACCTATCTCGCAGCATGATGTGGCTTTCCCTGGGGAAAGGAGCTGCACCAACACAAACACGCAATTCCCAGGGTTTTCCTTTTTCTTTTTTAATAAAATACTATCATGTTCATATCTATACAAATAATTATTACAACTATTAAACAAAGTCTTACATTTAACAATAGAAATCTCCGAACTCTGAACAAGATCATGGTTTGGGATATTTACACCTGAACGCAACACATTTGTAAAAAGCTGTCAAAATAAACAGAGCAAGATCTTATTTACAAGAGCAAGGTGATGTTCCTGTTCATTCATTACAGATTTCTACTGCAGAGTTCCTTTGTGCCATTACAAAACAGTAAGGACTTCCCGTGGGACTGTATGCAAGCTGTAGAAAACAGAAGCACAGCAGAAAACACTGGACTGAACAGAACTAATTTATCGTGGAGGGCAACAGCATCTTTGATTAATCTCCTGTGGCAAAATCCATCTTTGCTTCCCTTCTC